AGGGTTTATTACATAATTATAGTATTTTGGCACTTTGTATCAAGTTAAAATCATAAATAATATTCAACGTTAAACTAGTACACAATTTAAAAAAATTTATTTAGGCCTATCTATGTAGAGTCGTCAACTTTTTGAAGGTCATAGATAGGCCTCAGTAAAATGTTTTTAATTATGTACCAGTTTAAGGTTGAATATTATTTATGATTTTAACTTGATACAAAGTGCCAAAATACTATAATTATGTAATAAACCCTTAAGTTTGATTTTGTACACCAAAGGACATTGACTTTCTACTTTTCTAAAAATATTACTTATAGTTTAAACTACTTATCTTACTAATCACACATAATTTGAAATTTTTTCCAGTTAGCAATATAAAAAATCGTTGATTAACCCTTTCAGGACTGGGAGGTGTCAATAACACCTGATGTTTTTTTGAAAAGTTGAAATACTTAACTAAATTTCCTGAAACATGGCACAAACTTAATAAATTGTACCTAACTTTGGCTTTAAAAATTTTATAAATTTTTAGGTTGTGAAATTTCCAAATTTTTTTATGAAGCAATGAAAACCATTAAACTATTTTTTCATTTCACAATCTAAATTTTCTTTATTATGTATCAAAAAGTTCCATTTTATATGTCCAGTCACTTTCAACTTGATTGATATTCATTATCACGCTTCTTTTGATACCTTATTTTGCAGATGGCAGTAATCACCACTTTTGGCTATAAATTATAAAAAAAAAATTGTGAAAATTGACAAAGACTTATCAGTCACCTATGACTTGAGCTTCCACAAAGGTTTTACTATTCCTTTCAATTTATGTGACAATATTTTTGCTAACAATATTCCTCAAGATAAACTTATTCTTAATAAAGTAATTTCTTTTCAACAAATAAATTATTCTACTAATTTTGAATAAGTTTAACAATATTGTTGAATATATAACAATCTGAGTTAATGGAATATTTTGTCCTCTCGTACTGTACTCACTAAACTCAACTTACCTTATGCTTTGTCATAGAATAAAATTTCCCTAACATCCAAACAGATACAACTTAACACAAACATTTTGAGAAATGAAAAATATCTAAAGAAACTACAAAAACATTTCCTAAGTATGATGTTTCCAAGTCTTCACTGTTCACACCACAATATTCAACCTAAACTGATGTAAATAATTTATAATCTGCTCTATCCAATCTTTGCCTGTAGCTATTTTTTAAGTCATGCTTCATTAAAATTGTCCAAACCACAAGTTGTGACATCATAAAAGAGCAGGAATGAAGGGCTGTAGTTATACGTCAAACACAGAAGAAAAACCTAGAGAAGTAACGTGTGACTAGTTATATTCTCAAAAGGATAATATTCTCTTAGCAAATATGAATCTGTACTTTAAGTTGGGTAAAAAATTCAAAAAAAAAAGAAGAAGAAGTGGTTACAAGCAAGATTCCTCAGACTTAAAGAAATGAAGCTTTGAAATTTTTCTTTGCACATTACATCAAATAAATATTATAGAACAGTTGGAAGTAAACTTGTACTTAAATTTTAAAATGGTGATATGCAAGTATGTACTCTACACTTGAAAGGTGCTCACCAGCAATGACAGATTTAGTAAATTGTCTATATTAAATAATAAAACTTTTTGTTTTTCCCCCATCAGTCATCATCTCATACACTTTTTACCTCAAGCTGAATAATTGACTCTCAATCTCTGGCAAGTATAACATTACTCACTGAAATAACCACCTACACATCTCTGCAGTATAACCTGTTTACCTCTATCTTTTGAGTTTACTTCTAATGTAACTTTGAATAAGAGGGAAGTTTGGAGATGCTACAATTGTTAGAACTCTTGTCTTAAAATCTTGCCAACTTACCACAATTTAGGAAGTCTCTAGTTCTTTGTTATTGGTTTGCAGATAGCTAACATGGATTATTGTAGTTATTTGGATTGTGCATATACATTTATAACAGATAATGTGAATAAAGTTATAGAAGACATGTTAATAATTGGTTCAAAGACTGAATTGAACTAAATGTATAATAAGTATTTATTTCAATAAAAACAAATTTTAATTTTATGTTATATACACAAGAAAACTAAATAAGAAATTGGTAGAAAATAAATTTCTATGGTTTGATATGTTGGCCACAACACAATAATACCACTATCCTGCTTGATTTAGCAGGGCAACTTGCAATGACTATGTTTTAGCAGTCCCATGTTCCTTTAATGGGGAAGGTAAATTACCCCCAAATACATGAATTGAAGCTGTTTGAGAGATGACATAATACAATGGTGGTTTTTATGGGCTTCCTCAGTATTTTTCAACCTCAGAAGTTTGTCTTCAAACAAGAATCATAAATGTTGTTAGTTTACAGAAAACAAAAATTTGCATTATTTGTTTATACAACTTAAAAGTTATGAATATAAATGATAAATATAAAGCCAAGGTACTTTTTTAAGAAATGTAAAATATTCTGCTACTCTTCATATACAAGAAACAGGTAGGAAAAATCCCAAATCCATCTTTAATTTCTGAAAAATGGTTTAAATACTAACTTTCTCAAGTTTCATATAAGTAAACGTAGCAGTTTAAATGTAACGTTTTTAGAAAGAACAGTGACTAGCACCTGTTGGGCAGATAAGTTAACATTTTAAACCTGACAAAATATTTTGATTATCTGATATTCACACTTCCAATTTTCCTTTGATACTTACAGCTTCAGATTGTTCTTTCAACTCTGTCAGCACCTTCTGAAAACTGAAACTCTGTGTTTTCCCCTTGGACTGTAAAAGTTTCTTCAGAGCCTGTGCAAGTTCACTTCTTCGACGTCTAGCAGAATTGCTCATGCCAGTGGTCAAAATGGATATGTCAATTTTTCCAGAAGCAGGGTCTGTGGCAGATTGCTTCAAAGCCTCACAATGTAATCTATATTATAATACTTGTTTTGAAAGGTTTGCTTTCCTAAATTGCTACTTTAAAATACTTTGAATATATATTTTCAAATCTATTGGCATTATACACCATAAAAAATGTAGAAACAAAAGCATCAGAAGATTAAATCTATAGTAAGTAAATTTCAGGAAAATTTCTAACCACAGTCATTAGCACATTGTAAATTGTGTACAAATTATTTACCTTCTGGCTTCCTCCACATCCACCAACTCTACTACACTGGAGTACCTCACTTTTGCATGAGCCTCAGCCAGTCGTATGAGCGATTCCAACTGTCGAGGGAAGGCAGAAACCTGTCCTCTTCCACTGCCAATTTTACGCATATTAACATAAGCATCAATTAAGGCATGACCAGCAGGTTCACTTAATCTTGGCTGAACATAAGAACGAGCAAATGCTATGTAATCCTTTAAAAGTGCCATGTCCTGAAATAAAACTTGGTATCAATACAACTGTGTTTAGCTCTTTCATATACAAATAAAAAATGTTACATAAAAAAAGAACTTAAAATTTCTTTAAGGGAAAGAGAAATATGAGGTTAAAATTTTAGTCAATTGACCTTTAACAGATCTGTATGAAGGTTGAGTTGGCTGAAACAATAATCACATGCTTTCCTTTTCTTATAGCAGTTTTAGTCATGGCCTGATGAGTCCTGATATAAGGCAATGGTCTCATCAGCACTGGATATAGCAGATATATATATATATATATTTATTTATAGTGTAGTTAATATATTATTACATATTCTAACTTGCTTTCATCATAAATTCTTAGAATTTATTTTCACACACACAAATACAGGGCCAGATTAAAGGAGGGGTGGACAGGGCAGCCACCTGGGGCCCAGGCATAGCTTACCAGTACAAAAATGACATTTTAGGTTGTTTAACTCTTGAATGACAAAGTTACAAGTCACTATTAATATCATAGTAGTGGATAATGTATCATGGTTTAACTTTAATATAGCAGATAAGACAACACTTGAATTAATATCTCTATTTCATTTATGGCTATTCTAGGTACTTTTACATCAAATTTAGCAATATTTCTGAATAAAAGTTGATAACCCTAATTGACTGGTGCTCTCCTCCAAGGCCATCCAGTATCAAGAAGGCTTGTTTACTCTTGGCAACAATGCTGTTTTGCTTTGCCTTGTGTTTATTTCATTTCCTTATGAGTTGCTTACTTTATATTCAATTTGATTCAAGGCATTGTAATATAATTCCTGTATGGCCAATGTTCAGTTTCCTGAATAACTTTTTTTTCATTACTCTTGTTCTTGACAATTCATTGAGAGCTGCATGTTTGTATGTATATATGTATGCTCATTCATTTTTAATTAAATAAACTACCTAAACTAGATCAATTTTTCTGCAAAAAACTCAGAATCATGAAGAAGATTAAAATGATGTTGTGTAGTCAACTTTAAACACTGAACCACTAGTGTACCAGATTCGGAGTTGGACTAGTCAGAGCTACAAATTCCACAAGTTGAGAAAGACAAAAAATAACTGGTGGTTACTGTGCAGGAACACATTAGACATACAAATGCAATTGGGCTGTGAGGAGACAAAATCTCAGAAGAAATGCAAAACTATTGGATTGCAAAAAGTAGTGCCAAAACTATGCTAAAGAATTCTCAAATTCAGGTGTGATTCATGTGAAGGAAGGATATAAAGGATACTTTTCAAAGTTTTTCTTCACACATGTGCACCTGCTGGCAGGAGAACATGTGAAGCAAACATGGCTCTGTTATTCACCTGTAAAGTGTACTGCTTTGCTTGTAAATTCACAGCACGAGCAAGTAGCCACTTTACTTGTGGGTTTAATGATTGGAAGCATGGAGATGAGAGAATTGCATCTAATGAAAACATCCAACAGCATGGAGAAGCCATAGTAGTAATGTGCACAAGACATGCAGGAACTGTTTGTGTGGATGACCATATGGACATGGTTGTCCAGTTTGAAAACAAACAGCAATACTGGTACATGCTAGAGCATGCTGTCTGTGTGATAACATTTCTATGTGAGTGAGGTTTTTCACTACGAGGTGATGATAAAATCAATGGATCTCCATGCAATGGTGATTATCTGGGTGTGTTAGAGGTTCTCATAAACTATGATGCATTTGTCACTGAACACATCAAGCAGTTTGCCAACAAAGGCAAGGGCCATACATCATACTTGTCTTCCACCACTTGCAAAGAACTGATTATTCTGATGGGTTGCAAAATACTTGGGACAATTTTCCAGTAATTGAATGCAGCAGTTCAATATCTTTTCAATATCTGTCGATTCAACACCAGATTCACACCATCAGATCTCCTGACATTTGTCATCCACTATGTTCTACCGACTGGTCCTGAAGAAAGATTCCTAACGTTCTTACCGATGATCAGAAGAAATAATACTAACCTTTCTGGATAAAATTGGGATCAACATACAAAATTGTCACAGGCACTCATATGGTAACAGGTTAAATATGAGTATGAAATACACTGAGGTCCAAACTATAATCAAAGAGAAGTGCCCATTTGCAATGTTTATACCATGTATCACACTCACTTAATCTTGTGGGGAAAAACAACTCCAATTGCAACCCTGTGATTATCAGATTTTGTAACATTGTCAGAAAGTTGTACATTTTTTTCTGCATTGATATATTGCTGGCGACTACTGCATGAAAAAACTAAAGTATTTAAGGCTATCTGTCATTGATGGTCTGCATATCATGAAGCAGTCAGCCCAGCCATATGCAAAGTGTTGGAACCTCTGGCAACTGACATGGATCAGAAAGTTGAATGCCAAAATAATGTACAATTGATCCTTAACAAACTGGGCTAAATGGATTCAGCTATTCTCATTGTTATTTGGAACACTTTCTGAAGAGCTTCCACCAGAAGATTTTCTCACTTTAAGACACCAGCTTAAATTTGAATGTCATAATGTGCTTACTCGAATCCCTTGTAGATTTTGTCACAAGACCCAGCAGATAGAATGAGTCTTTCAAAGATCTGGGAATTAAACTGTGTTATCACAACGAGTACAATTCCTCTCAGAGAAGCATTTGGTTACCCAACCATCGCTGTGTTGATGGAGATGCAGAAACCACTATGCTGTTACCCAAGGATTCCTTCAAAACTGAAGTATTCCTTGTAATCATCGAAACTCTTATCATTATGTTAGAACATCCCTTAGAAGCATTTAGGGACATTAACCATGAATTTTTGTAAAAACTAGCTGCTCTCTCAACTGATGAGATCCAGCAAGCCACAGCAAATCTTTCACACTCCTGTCCACTTTGCTAGCTTGGTGGGATCTTCAACAGAGCATCAAGACTCAAGTGTTGAACAAGCTAAGTCAATATAGCTGAAAATGTTTAAATTCCTCCATGCACTCACTCAAACCTTTCCTCATGTTGAAATAGCTATTTGGCTCAATGATGGTGACAAATTGTGGCAATGAGTAGTCCTTCTCAAAACTGAAGTGGATAAAAATTGAGGTCAAGGACAGACTTAATTGTCTGTCAATTATAAGCATCGAGAGCAAAATCCTGAGAAGACTTGACTTCTAAAATATTATTGATGATTTTAGATGACAAAAATCTGGAAAACAGCTAATGTAGGGTTGTTACTTGTCTGTTATCTGTGCCTCATAGATTGTAAATGTCAAATCTATTTCTTAATTGTTATCACTGTCATATTAGTTACCAAATGTAAAAGTAAGATTTTTTTTGTATATTAAAGTGACATTGTTTACTGTTGATATAAGGTTTCATTAACGTAGTTTCATCATGTTATTGATTTTAATAAGTTATTTATTGAATGTAATTGTTTTCAAACCTAAAGAAAAATTACATGAGTGTATAGTGTTCTTTTCCTTAGCCCACCAGTGAAATATACTGCAGAATGTCATTGCAAATAGGGGGCCAATGGTCAGGCCATAGCCTGGGGCCCAAGTCACCCTTAATCTGTCTCTACACACACACACAAATCAGTGATTTGTCTTCAAACAATCACAAATGCTGTTAAAGAATTACAGGAAAAAGTACTAGTATTATTTTTTTTGTGTATATATATATATGTAAAAAGTTATGAATACAAAATAAAGGTAAAAATTCAAAATCTGTTAAATAATACATGTGCATATATCTGACCAGCTATCTAAAAAATAACATTTTATTCATTTTTTTCACTTTCCCATACATTATGTAGCAAAAGCAAAAATTATTTATGAGAATCACTCACAAGAAACTCTTCCTGCTCCTCTTCTCTAGTTTTGTAATAAAGTGACACCAGGTGGCGAGCCAGGCGTCTATCATACAACTCATCTTGAGGATCCAATATCAAGAAAATTAGATCAAACCTGTAATAGGATGATATACTAAGCAATGATAGATTTTGTGAAACTCAAAAAATTATAAATTTACTTTTGAAAATGGATATAAATAAGGTATTTGTAATTAAAATAATCCTTACTTTGTTTATTCTTTTGCATCTGTTCTAAAAATACGTTTTGGCTAATATTCTGATATTCACATATAGATATATTTTCAGTAATATACAAATATATCTCTTAAGGGTTGCTGAGTTTCAATTTTCCCAAATATCTGTTGCTAATAAGAAGTCAACTTATTTAAAATTCCTAAATGTTAATCTCGTAGGTATACACAAGTATAGTAAGATATCACGTCTCCATATTTGATATCATTGTATGCAAGGAGGGTTTTTTAGAAATTTAACCAGCTTGCAAATCTTGAATCTGTTGGAAAGACAAAAAGATCCAATTGGTTTATATAGCTTTAAAGCATCATACTACAAAATCATAGTTTCCTCGAGCTTTTTTCACTTTTTTTAACTTTCTCAACGCAGGATCGGTCAAATTAACCAACCTCGTAACCAATTTGTATTCATTATAGTTTCAATACTATACCTTTTAATAAACATCAGAAGTACTTTTACACACACACACACACAAAATCATATTTTTTAATGATGGATTTTTGCTGAAGATTTTGTCTGTGAATATATAGATTTGTTTTTTACTAATGCAAGTGCAGTGATTTTCATATTAGGATTAAAAATACTTTTCTTCATCTCAAAAATCCAAAATTTCATGCGTAATCTCTAAACCTCCTAAATAAATTTCAAAAAGTTTGTTTTCAATAAAACTTTGTATTCTATCTTTATCCTAACAATATATTTGATTCTTCAGCCAGTAGACAAATAATCAAAGTATAATGAGAAGTTGTAAAATCAGAAATAGAATGGGCAGCTGTGTCCTTTTTTGTTCATTACTGATCATGAAGTTTCAAAGCACTTCCCTTGAGTTAACTGCTAGACATTTCACATATATTTGCTGTTTATTACAAACCCACTGAAATTAAAGCAGCAAATCACCACTTGTGTTATTAGACTGTTTGCATGACACCATAATATGATACTCTCGAGAGCAACAAAGCACATGAAAGAAATAAGCTCACTGCTCCGATAACACAATGTGGGATTTAATGGCTCATGTATCCTACAGTGTTTACAACAAGAATTTTCTAGAGTAATAAGATTAGATTGCACTTGGAATCTGTGAAAACATTTATATATGGTTCCCAGTCAATCCAATAAATATTGCAGGTGTTTGAGTACTGGTTATCCTTCGGGAGTGTTTGGAATTTAGTGGCCTAGTGTACAAAAAAAAACATTTGTTATTTGTGCAAATTTTGCAAAATACAGTGATATTTCGGCTACTATACATTACATATGTGTGTGTGTGTATATATATATATTACTATTTACTCATAAATGTTTACATTTTAGTTACTTTCTGAAAACATAAAACAACAAATAAAAATTACATTTAAAAACGAAGATTTCGAGAACTACAATATTTTGTGCTTGTGTGTTAAATTTTGCCTTGATTTTCGTTTATTCTTCCAAATGGAAAGTGAAAAGATATTAATTTATATAGGCTTCAAATATACATCTTGGAAAACCAATAATATATCAAGTTACTATATTAGAACTCACAAAACCCATGTAATTTATCTGGGTCTATAAATGAGCTATAGGTGGGACTTGACAAAAGGTTTCAAAAAGATGGAGTAGGAGAGGAGCCACTCTAGTAGATTTGCTAAATATATTGACATCTCAGCAAATGAAAGAAATGGTTCTTATTTTATATTTATCTTGACCATATCTCAAATGAGTTTCTAATTCAATAAGCACTGTACACACTGTTAGGTAGGCGTGATAAAATATAAACTGAGCAATAAGACAAAAGGTGCTACGTGACACACAAAAATCAATATTTAGTGTTTTTTTTTAATTTCTTTATAAATCAAGAAATTAAAACATATATAATATTAAAATTTCAATTATAAACTATGTTTTGATGCCAATTTAATTGACATAAGTAATGATAAAGTTATTTAATACAATTTTGAAAATAACTCGAAGGTCATGACATGCACTTTAACCCTCTCAACACAGAGTGGGTCAATTTGATCGACCATGTGACCTCTTTGTACTCTTTCAAAGTCTTTATAGATTTGACACTTTGAATATAGAGTGTATATCTTCCCAAAATTTGACAGTCTTTCAGTAAATATTACAAGTCTTTCACATGCAAAAATAATATTTTTTAATAAAGTATTTTTAATCAACTAAAAAAAGATTTGAAAAGGAGATTTTCATGTTAAGATTAAAAATACTTTTTTTCATATCAAATTTCATTTGTGTAATCTCTATAATCTCATAAATACATTTCAAATGTTTGTTTTCAGTAAAATTTTATATCTTATCTGTTATTTTCTCTACTCTAACTGAGTGCAAGATTGGTCAATTTGATCAACATCATAACCACCAAAAAAACCCTAAATTATCCTCTTTTCCTTTCTAGAATGACATCAAATGTAACATGAAACAACATTTCTTTATCCTAAGTAGTTTTAAACTCATAACAGTATACATCTATTTATAATTAAATTTTATTGTTTTATTTTCCTTTGAACCATGTCTAACTGCTATTAATACAATTATAAGTTGTAAATCATTTGGGGAATGTGCAGCTCACGTTATGCTATCGAATTACATTACCCATGAGCTATTACATGCTGCTCGCGTGCATGCCTTATGAAATATTTTTATTATATTATCATTTACCCAAGAGATCCCTATTTTTAAATTTTAGTTACTTTTATAATAATAAATAAATAATAAACACGAAAAACAAGAAATAAAGTACTTACTCATGTCTTCTTTTTTTGCTGTCAACTGTTGATGACACATAACCATACTTTTTTATACTAATGATAGTAATGCACAAAATGATCTTTATTTAATTCAATAATACAGAGAGCATAGAATAATAACATGCAAAAAGCAGACAATTTCCCCTAACTATTACAATTTTTCTGGTTTTCTAATTATGCAACAAGAGCTGTTACAAATTCATCCAATCTAGTGGGAATGAAGCTTGTGCTAAAAGAGAAATCGACAATTCTCTGTTCAGAACACAGTGTAATATAATATGTAATTATTATAATAGCAAAAGAGGGCTGATTTTCTATTGGATGGCTCTGTAACCAAACAAAATTGAAAGCTATAAAACTTTGGTTTGTCTGAGCAATGACGATTTTATAGTGATTAATTTAAGTTCAATTTCCTACTTATTGAAGGGGTGGTGAATAAAATAGAGAAGATAGGATGCCCACAGAAAATTTGTCACCTTTCTTATACTAGGACTTTTTAAGATATTGCCTTATAAAATTAAGAACTTAAAACTTATATACTATTAAAATATGGATTATTAGTCATGATTTTATGCTATACTAATTGGTATAACATAAATATAAAGTAGTTTAATAAAATTTTGAATGTAAGCCACTATAACCTCATGACGTGTGCAATGAAAATGATGATCGGGCAGATAGGGTTGGTTAATAGGTAGATGCCAATAACACTACCATCAATGTGGCCATTATAAGAACAGACTGTGAAAGTAAACAAAAACAATATTAATTTTTAGAGACACTATTACAGAAACAGATTAATAAAAACATTTTCCACACAATTACACAAAATGATTTTTCAATTAAAAAGGCATAAATGTTGGTGTCATACTTATACAATACAAATGCACAAGTAGAAAGGAATTATGTGGAACACACTACAAGTTCTACAAATATAAAACAATACAAGAAATGTGGAACAAACCTTGACAGTAGTGTATGAGGAAGTTGAATGTTTTCAATTATTGTTTTGTTTTTATTCCACTGAGATTCCACAGGGTTAGCTGCAGCTAATACCGATGTTCGAGCGTTCATCTGACAGATGATCCCGGCTTTTGCAATGGATAATGTTTGTTGTTCCTACACAAGCAATCAACTTTTAGCATTAATCTGTTCTTTTCACAAGTACCATTCATCACAAACTGAAATTATAATATTATCCGAAGTAACAAAATACTTTCTAGCTTACAATTTTCAAAAATGTTTCAGCATTAGCTGGACATCGTACTTATAAAACATAAAAAATTCATCTCATTTCTCTCAATAGACTGTTGAACAAAACAAAGTTATCTCAATACTGCTGTATGTTCTTACACTGATTTCTGGTCTTTAACTATAAAAACTAGAGAAAAGTAATGAATATCTAACAAAAATCATTTAACAAGGCATTTTGTGTTCAATCTCCCAAATTTTTGAACCTAGAGAAATCAAATTACGTTACCTTATTCATCTGGTTTTGCTCCATTGAATAATATATTTTCTGTAGGTGTATGTCACTGTCTTTCTTATTGAATGCATTGTGAAATTTAACCCAATTGGAAGAGGTACAAGGCCTCTGTCATATTATCTTGAAACAAAATCAATACAACTTGCCTATTCTTTTACAAATATGTTTCGAGTGGTTTCTCTTAACCCTCATAAGCTATAACGACCCTAACTTCTCATACTTTCAGTTAATTGGATTAGTTGTTCTTGTTTCAGATTCAAGAACATTTTTTATCAAGACTGTGAGCTATTAGTTTAAGGGTAGCTGCCATTACAGTTTACCATATACTGTAGCAAAGTGCTAACAGCTACAGTCACACAGCATAACAATATACACCTATTTGTTTTTATATTTCTATAAACAGGAAATGTTTTCAATTATCAATTCCCCCTTTTAAACTCATGTAAAGTATCAGCCTCTACTATTGTTGATGGCAATTCATTCCACATAACAATCACCCTGTTGAAGAAAATATGTCTTAACTTGAGCCCAACTTGTCTTTTCAAAATCTTACACTTATGTCTTATTGTCTTCAGAATACAGCACCAAAAAACCAGGGACCTTTACCCTACTGATACTACGGATAACCTAATAAACATCATTAAAATCACCTTCTGATTTGGTTTTAATAACAGAAAATAAGATAAAAGGAGACCATTGTTAAACACCCATGAACTTTTGTGATTCCCACCAAAACTTTCTGCTATCCCTGAGATAGGATATGTGATCTGCAACTGTTTGCATACATGTTGATTACATTGCAAAAAGAGGTAATTATTTCTTTATATCAATCACTAGCTAAACCTCATGTGTAATACTGTGCACAGTTCTGGTCTTATTTATGAAGAGACATTAACTTATTGGAAAGGATTCAGAGCTTAGTAGGTAAAAACTGCCTTTAACTTTCATTTTTGTTAATTTGACAAGGAGAAGAAAATACTTTTGTTATGTGAGTAATTATTAATTTTTCACATTACTCTAAACAATCAATTTTATGAAAATAATATTTTACAATCTGAAACTTAGCATAAAACATTTTTCTATAGATACTGTCAGCAGTATAGTGGCTAGAAGAGGGTGTCAGCAGTAACAATACTAGAAAACTAGTAGCAAAGTTAGAAGACGTACTTCTACATACATGTATTCTGACTGCTAGGACATCCTTTTTTCTCCAGTGATTTGGTATCAGTATAATCAGTGATATTTAAACAATCAATTTTACATTAATAACTCTATAATCATCTTATTAAGTATTTATCCATTTTCATGATTATGCACCAGTGTGGTCTGCCAGCAAGTGAAGATGGTACATTGAAAATTAAGGATTAAAGCATGTAGAATTTGGTATGTAGATAAATGAAACAAACCATCAATTATACAAAAAGATGGAAATTGAGA